TATATGTATATTTTGCCATTATTCATGTAATTATTAATTAAATATAGTTATAATTATATTGCCTGTATAATATCATATATATTTATATACAATTTATACTAGTGATAGACCTTAATCTCATAATATTTGGCCATTTTGAGATTATCAGCAATTTATATTATATTTACAGTATTATATTATACAATTTTGTTGTACATTGTGTTTCAGCAATCTTTTTGCCATTATTAAATTGTAGTATGTATATTATGCCATTTATTAATTAATTTTAATAATCATTGATTAAATACAGTTTAATATTTTGCATATTTTATACATTAGTATAAATATATTAATACATACTGTGTTTTGTATTTTGTATTTTTAAACAATTTATTATACAATATATATTTATATTATTGTATTTTTTATGTTTAATAATTATTATTATTTTATTACTTTTTTAGATTGTGAATTTTACAGAAATTATTATGTAAAATTAGCATTTATTTTCAACATTTTGAAAGCTGCTTAGCTGTCAATAGATTTTATAAATATCAGCATTAAATAAGCCATCAGGCACCCTGAAGTTTTCTTGATCATTTGCTTGTGTAGGTCCATTCAGAAACTAGAGGAACTGAACGTGGGAATAGAAGACGTCCAGGCTTTGGCCCAGCAGTGTAATGGTACGGCAGAGAGCGGAGCCGGTAAACAGACCCCAGAGACCGGCTCAGGGCAGAACAAGACTGCGCTGATCAGCAGCACCCCTCAGAAGGGAGGAGGCCAAGGCGTCCCGTCTCTGGATGAGTCCCCAGTGCTGGTCAACCAGAGGTTTCTCAAAGCTTTCAACCCTATGAAGATGAAATAACTCTGGTCTGTGAGCTGCTTCTAATGCTGAGATATCATGACAGTGTGTTTCAGGATGAGAATCCCAAATCCCCATTCGTTGCAGTACAGACGCTGGAGGACACACAGGCTGTGCGCGCGGTCGCCTTCCACCCGTCCGGGACCCTCTACGCAATCGGCTCCAACTCCAAAACACTGCGTGTCTGCACTTACCCACAATCCCTCAAAACCAGGTGTGTTCTCAGCATTTAAAAGCATAGTTCACCCAAAAATGACATTTCTGTCATGATTTCCTCACCCTCATGTCGTTCCAAACCTGTATGACTTTCTATCTTCTGTGGAACATGAAAGAAGATATTTTGAAGAATGTTGGAAACCAAACAGTTTCAAGTCTCATTGACTTCCATGGTATGGACAGAAAAGTACAATGGGACCCAAAACTGTCCGAAACGTGAACATTCTTCAAAATATCAAAGCGTCCTCTGTTCTTCCTGTCTAGTGCTCAAGGTCCAGTAAAGCAGCCTGACATCTGTTTCAAGCGCATTAAGCACCATAAAGGCTCTATTTACTGTGTGGCTTGGAGTCCCTGCGGGCAGCTTCTCGCCACGGGCTCCAATGACAAGTATGTCAAAGTTCTTCCTTTCAATGCGGACACCTGCAACGCCACAGGTAACGTGCCTTTAAAATAATGTCAGATCAAATGTATCTTGTGTAGTGTAAATACACAGTATTTTCTAACACGAATCATAAAGTGCTCTGAAAGTAATTGTGACCTATGAAGATAAGTAAAGGCTTTATTTTCTGATAATAACTGTACATTATTCTTTGTCACTGCTAACTGCCAAATAATGGACATGAAATATGTTGAAATGTGAAGTACCGTTTTATTATGTGAGAAATAGACTATAAATTGTATAGCAATAACTGTACAGTATACAGTAAATATACACTACCATGTTAAGGTTTGGGTTGAGATCAGATTTTTGAAAGAAGTCTCTTCTGCTCACCAGTGCTGCATTTATATGATAAAAAAATACAGTATAAACAGTAATATTGTAAAATATTATTACAATTTAAAATATCTGTTTTCTATTTAAATGTATTTTAAAATGTAATTTATTTCTGTGAGTCAAAGCTGAATTTTCAGCATCATTCCTCCAGTCTTCAGTGTCACATGATCCTTCAGAAATCATTCTAATATACTGATTTGCTGCTCAAGAAACATTTCTTATTATTAGCCAATAAGAAATATTATACAATTTATTATTTTATACATTTGTTTTCAGGATTCTTTGATCAATAGAAGCATTCGTTTGAAATCGAAATCTTTTCTAAAGCATATAAATGTCTTTACTGTCACTTTTAATCAATTTAATGCGTCCTCGCGGAATAAAAGTATTAATTTAAATTATAATATTAATTAAATATATTGAATCTAATAATAATGTATTATAAATGTTTACACACTTTTTTTAAAGTCTCTGGCTTTATATCTTAATCTGTGAATTTCATAATTTAAACTATCTTGTAGTTGCCTTTTCATCTGTTTTTATTGCAGTTAATGGAATATGTAAATTACAATATTAGTATTATTAAACTGTATTAAAATTCAAAACCAATTCAGTGACTACAACCGATGTAAATAACATTTTAACATTTATATATATATATATATATATAT